CAGTGCCTATCGGACAGTGTCCACCTTGCAGCAACACAGGTTCGGTCGAACAGACTACAGGGCCATCGAGATCTCCCAAAAAGAATCATTCTGATCGGTAGTGTTCTATAATATTGCTATTAATTACTATTAATAAATTATTCTTTGATCTTTGCAGTAGTTATATCGCGGCAACAAAAGCCAATCATTTTCATATAAGATTTAGATTAAAAATCTAGATTTTACAATTCGAAGTAATTTTAGAGATTTTAGCCATATTTGTCAAACATAATTTACAACTCTTTTTTTTATAAGGATCCTACGTTTTTGGAAGCACTATGGAAGTGGTTTTATTTGGTCTCTTAAATTGAAGATCAAAAGTTTTCGTTAGTGTAAAATGAGCGAATCAAAAAAATCGTCTTGACAGTCCATATTTCTGTAGCTGTAAAATAATAAAAAGTGTAATGTGTTTATTTCATTATATATATAAGTGTTTGTTTTGCTCTGTAGTATTCCTTTTTTGAAATCGATTTTTATATTTCAGAACTACGTTTCTATTAAGGTTTCAAAATAATACATATGTTAGCGTTTTTTTTTATATATTTAAAAATATTAAACAAATAATACGATTATTTACTTTACATAGCACTTGTATTTTCCAATACATTGAAGAATTTTTAATAATATTTTGGATCCTTTTAAAAGTTTAAAAATACCCTTTCATGCACGATTAAATTCTGACATCATTTTTAATCATCTGTAAAAAAAAAAAAAAAAAACCCGTTCAAACATGGCGTAGTGAACAAGAAATGTGGTTTTCCCGTTCATGTTGAAGTTTGCCCTAAAAATGTTCACAGTCGAGTCGGCGGTTAAAACATCAACACACATTTCAAACAATCTGTGAATACGATTTTGATTGGGCTCCTCTGGCGCCCTCTTCACGCGCCCTCTCTCGCACGCGCGGCTTTTATTTTATAGAACTTCCGTGCGTCGGGGGCCACCCCCGTGCCGCTGAGTGTGTCATGAGTAGATGAGGGGAGACGACCCTAGCACAACATTTAACAAGCCACTCTTGCCTCGAGTTATTTGCTCTTGAGCGCGTGCCGGCTACTCTCCGTCATGGCCGCGGTCCGATGGAAATAGAAATTGTTTCTCAATGTCTTGTGAGGTCAGTCGGACGGCAGGAACAGGACTCCACCCTGGTTTAGTGTTAAGTCGCGTGCCGTATTTTGTCCCTGGGTGTCCAGGCGCGAGCGAAGGTGATGGGACATTTTGAAAATAGTCTGTGTGCCGTCTCTTCTCCTGACTCTCGGTGGAGACCACGAGGACTTTTTTTTTTTCTTTGACAAATGTACAAGTCTCATGGCGCCCTCAGCCACGCCCTACATTTTATTACAGTCTCTTTCTGTTCCCCTGCCTTTTTGTCATTCTCTCTTTCTTTCATTCTCTTTCTTTCAATGTCCATTTTATACATGTTCACCCCCCTCTCTTTCTCTCTCTCTCTCTCTGATTGAGTTATTCCTTCTCTCTCACTTACTCTGCTTCTGTCCCTCACTCTCCTTTTATCTCTCGTTCTTTCTCTCCCTCTCTTTTTGATTAGTGTTTTTATCATCTTTTTTCTTCTTTTTATTTATCCCCCTTTCTCTCTCTCCCCCTCTCTTTTTCTCTTTTTTTCTCCCTGTCTTCTTGTTTCTCTCTCTCTCTCATTCACTCTCTGACTCTCTTTCTCTGTTTATATCTACCTCTCTCTTTCTCGCCTGTTCCTCCCTTCTCTATTTTTAATTCTATTCCCCCTCTTTCTCTATTTCTCTCTCTCCCACCTCTCTTTTTCTCTCTCATTCTCTCTCTCTCTCTCTGTCTCTCCTCCAACGTATTTGGACTAGGAATGAGACACAGGAAAGAGGCGAACAAGAAATTAATTCTATTCTTCTGTGTGGCGCCGGACGCTTGAAAAAAAAAAGTAAAAACAAGAGAAATTAACCGGGGATTGGACAGGAATTTAATTATCGTTCTTTTCAGACGGGCACCCAAGTCCCAGAGTTCCAGAGAAATGAAATTTTGATCAGATTTAATGGCAGGAGATTCAAAACGTGTGTCCGCGGTTAGTTCTCTAGAAGGAGCAGGAAGGGATTCATGTCTTCATTGAGTTTAAATCAAACTTAAACTCAACTTCCATTTTAACTTAACCACTGCTTGTAGTTGAAGCTCATCAGATCACCTTGTACATCTATCTACTTGTGGTCAAAGTATGAGCTATACACAGGGCCGGCCCAACTATTGCGGGGCCCTATGAGAACCGGATTGCGCGGGGCCCAGTCTGGGTAAGGATAAGGATAATAAGTGAAAATTTCAGATTTTGTATTAGAAAGTACATTTGTCTTTAAGTTACATGGATAAAAGCTGACGAGGTGTTGTTTTTTTTAGCGCTCGTAGGATTTGCGTTTTCCATATTGATCGACACCCCAAAATGACAATTTTGACTACTTTTTTACGCTCCTAGGTCAATCTAGTCATGACAGTTAACCAATGACTTAAATTCTGCCACGTTTCATAATTGACTCAAGCAACCCATTCCATGCTCTAATAGCACTAGGAAAGAAAAAGCATTTACAAATTTGTCCTAGCATATGGAACGAGGAATATGTCTTTATATTTGTGATATTTGCAACTATCTAGTTATTCATAGAACTATGAACTATTTAGTAATTCAAAACCAGGACATGTTTAATTATTCATATACAGAGCAGTAGGATTATAAAGTTAATCAAACTCAAGAATCAGTGTCAGAGTTTAGCAAGTTAAGGCCCTGAGCTGGATTTCTGTGGAAGCCCTAAAGCATTTAATAATATTAATAAATTTAGAAGCAACATTTGTGAATCAAGAAAATGGAGTTCTTCTAAATTTTAATCTCATTTACTAATTTTTTTAAATTCAATACGCATATTTTGTTTTTCAAAATGTATTTTTGACATTTATTGGCTCACTTTATAGAGTCAGGTAGGAATATTGGAACTATTAAATTATTCATAGAACAGTGGGACCATGGGCGTAGCCAGGGGGGGGTTGGGGTTCAACCCGCACCCCCCCACCCCCGAAATGAAATCCCCCCTGGGGGGGGGGGGGGCATCGGAATTTAGTGACTGATATTTTGCTTTGATTTTGTTTTTTTACGTGAGATTTTTATACTAAACTATCACTTGTCCTAGCACAGCAAAGGAGGTTTTGAGTTCAAACCCCCTACCAGGGGTTTTGAGTTTAAAACCCCTACCTGGGGGTTTCGAGTTAAATTCCCCTTTTCTATAACACAAAACAAAAAAATGCAAACGACAATCCCCCAAATTTCACGAGCACAGTTAAGGAAGATTTTTTATTTTTAACCCCCCTCCAATATTTACGATAAATCCCCTCTTCAATATAAAAAAAGAAAATTACACACTCAAAATTCTAGGAGCGTAGCCATAGGGGTTTTGAGTTAACCCCCACCCCCTCTTCAGTAGGGTTTGAAGCTAAAAATACTTCTTCAATACCTGGTATAAAAAAAACGCAAATTACGCACTCAAAATGTTATGAGCGTTGCTAAATGGGTTTTGACTCAGTTTGAAATTTAAACCTCTCTTCAGTAGGGTTTTAAGTTAAAAATACCTCCTCAATAAGAAAACAAAGCAAATTATGCACTCAAAAAGTTATGAGCGTAGCCAAAGGGGTTTTGAGTTTAAACCCCCCACAAGCGGGATTTGAAGCTAAAAAATACATCTTCAATGTAAGAAAAAAGCAAATTACGCACTGAAAATGCTATGAGCGTTACCAAAAGGGGTTTTGAGTTTAAACTCCCCTCCAGTTGAGTTTGAAGCTAAAAAATACCTCTTCAATATAAAAAAAAAAGCAAATTACACACTAAAATTATTTGAGCGTAGCCAAGACAATTGGAGGTTTTGAGTTTAAATCCGTCTCCTACAGATGGCTTTTTAAAAGTTTAAAACCCCTCCAGATGGTTTTGAGTTTAAAATCCCCCTACAGAGCGTTTTGAGGTGGAAAACTTCAATATTATTCTAAAGCAAACTACAGTTACTAAATTCTATGACCGTAGCTAAATGAGGTTTTGAATTTTAAAAAAAACATAAAAAACTTCACTTTTCGATACTAAATTTAAAGCAAACTACAGTCACTTAATTCCAAGAGCGTATTCAAGAGGGGTTACACATTTCTACCAGTGGCGGGACTCAATTAATAAAATGCAGTGAATAGTCATCTGCCGAAATTGAAAAAGACTAAATGTGGCTCAACAAAGATGGCTAAGACAGATTTTTGGAGTCAGTTATAGAGATTGGCTGTAAATCATGGAAATCCTATGCCGAACTGGGAGTCTACCCCTTAGTAAGATTGTGACAGAGCGTCGCATGAGGTTTGCGGGACATTTTCTCCGACAAAATGAATTACGCATAAGAGTTGCGATGACATCCTAGTACAATTTGGCGCCACACATTCATGGAGGTCCTCATGGCAGGTGGGAAGAGGCTTCAGACATTACCAGTGACAGATTTTTGTGGAAACAGCTTGACGGCAAATGCGCCGAACGGCGCGGGAGGGTCTATGTCAGTAAGAACAGCACATTAGGTTTTTGAAATAAAACTTTTTAATAGCAGGAAAATGCACTGTAGATACCTCAGAATATGCAATTTATTGGCTTTCAATATCAGAAATAGTGCTTGGCAGTGGGGCGGACGCTGGGGGAGCTCCTAGCGCTCCCCGAGACCCCTTTGCTAGCAATGGCGGGGGGTCAACAATTTTTCCACTGACTTCATGAAGACCCTATTCTAGGGCACAATAAAGGTCTTCCGAAAAAATGATGGTCAGAATGTAAAAAAAGATTTTATACACACACACACATATAAATATTTCTTTTTTTTTTTTAAATCCTGGCTACGCCCATGAGTGGGACTATCTAGTTATTTAAAGCCAGAAGGAAACTATTTATTTGGCATAAATAAATACCAACATTGGAACTAAACGCCAACAAAATGTAATTTAGATCAACTTTAATACGTACGGTAAATAAACAACAAAACAAAAAAAAACAACTAAAACCTACAGATAGCAATTTTTGACATTATTTAATGTTTAAACAGTTAAAACATGCAACAATCATATAAACAGACAATAATAGATCTACATCAATGAATCAATTTTTAACAATGTGTTAAAATTTTTATAACCACTCACACATCAACATTATATGCTATTTCATTGATACAACAGCTCAGCTAAGTGAAAGACATGTCAAAGTTTTTATTCTATATGCCATTCAATGTTTCACTCTCACGAGGTTAAAGGGTGACTATAGAAGAATCTCATTTTTTAAACTCACTAGTCAAAGGTCTCATTATATATCATGTAAATATGCCTTTGTGTGACTGAGGGGTCTAACTGTAACCCTTGAATGAATACCCTTATGAAAGACAGCCTATAATACAAATAGGGTATTCACATCACACTCTGAGACACTCTGTGACTGACTGAACCCAACACACTCCCCCCCCCCTCACATGTAACCAGTTCATGCTATGAAAACAAAATTTAACCCATTCACGCCTATACTGCTTTTTTTTTTTTATGTTGTGTTGTTGTTTTACTTAATCTACAGCTAATGCTGAAAAAAAATATCCCAATGTTTTCTGCGCTTTAAGCATCAATGGGTTAAACATATAACTTGAGTTGTTCATCTTTGAATACCCTAGTTTTATATTCTGATCATCTCCCTTGATATAAAAAAAAATAAACCAAAAATATATATGTTTGATGATACATGTATAATGATACAAACTATCATATCAAACTTTACCTAAAGAAGACCACAATGCTAATATGAAACTTTGTAGTAAAAAAAAAATGGAACCCATCTATGTTACATAATTCAACATACATTAAATTTGATGGTAAATACATAAGAATTAATTACTTTAATCGACTAATGCAAACATATATCTAACAATAAATTATAAGATTTGACAAGTCCATTTTAGTGTAAATCTTTCATAAGCTTATCAAGTAAGTCACAAATATTAATTAGATTCAGTTTAAAGTCTCTCCTTGGAATATTAGAGTAACTGTTATTTATGATTAAGAATTATGTTAAACATCGTAGACCTGAGTTCTGTGTCATGGCCAATTTGTTTTCAATCATTATAAACATAGGCACAATATGGGACTTGCAGAAAAAAAACATTTTGTAGATACTATATAGTGAACTCAATGCTGAAAGAATACATATAAAAATTAATATTAAAAATCCTCTTCATTTGGTGTTCTATTCAAGGAAATAGATTACAAACTAAAAACTTCTATTTAGAAAACAAAAAAAAAACAAAATGACATCTAGAAATATTTACAAGTTGATAATTTCTTCCTGCTTCATGCCCCAATATGCAAGAAGTCTTAAAATAAACTTGGTTGAGGATGAAGCTAGTGGTCCAAGTGGTCAATGGTCAGTGGCACAAGCAACTAGGCTTTATTCTAATACAGTGGTTCTAACAACAATCTCTGTCACGGAGTAAGGATCACAGTTGGAGGCTGGTCTTCTGTCCTCCAAATAACCTTTCTTGTCCTCCGCTACCTGTCTTGGAATACGAATACTGGCACCTCTGTTGGAACACAGAAAAACATAAGCATTGAAATACTCCCTACAGACATGTTCTTAGCTCATCTGACTGCAGAATTATTACTTAACATTTTTTTGACTCAATTCTAAATTTTACATTCATGGAACTTTCCATTATATAAATAAGACAGATTATCAGGAAAGCAGCAATGAGGAAATATCTTTTCAATTTTGTACAAAACATTTTTTTTTAATTACTTTTCTTAGAACTATTTACAAATGAACAAAACTACTATTATTGTTCTTGTTGATTAAGGCTAATGGAAACAAACCAATTCAAGGCTTGTGGAGTTAAATTCATGAATGTTGTCTACTGTGAAGCCACCATGGTCAAGAGCCACACTTAGACCAGGGAATGACTAGCCTATAAAAAGGGGCATAACCCATTGTAATATATTTCAACAATTATTAAATTTGTTATTCACAACCCAAATTAAAAAACATATTTCCCATAAGACACTGTGTACTATATAAATTATAGATGTTATAAACTTATTGCTTGTTAAACAAACAAATTTACCTGTTGGCGACACCAGCAGAGAACTGGTCAATGCTGGATGTTTCATGGGAGCCTAGAAGACGTCTTGCATTGTCCTGGCCATTCTTTGGATCATAAGCTCGGATGTGTTCTTTCTGTTTCAAGCTCAGTTTGTCAATGGCTTTCTCAATCTCTCTGAAAATAAGAGGAACAAGAATGATTACATTGATGATGAAACTGTACAAGTGGCAAATGTTTTTTGTTTTAAATATTTCAGATGTTCCTTCAGATTTGAAAATAATCACCTCCAAACCCTAACCTCCAGCAGGACGACAGGGGATGGCGGCGGGCAGGGTTCGAACCAGGCATCTTCAAGACTATTAGTAGACAGTCCTAAGTGCATACAACACGACCAGGCAGCACTCCATCTTTGATAGGGTTAAAGGACAGGAGGAGGGTATTTTCTTTTCTATGCTTTGGTGGCGAGAAGGTATGAATAGGTTGATAGTTGTCCCTCTAGACTAGTCTTACTAAACCTTGGCAATTTGTTGCTTTTTTTCCTTAATTCAGAACTAAGAGATATAAGACTTAAACTTCTTTTTTTTAATAAGCTTAACTTTTATTGTTTTTTATGTTGAGAGTAATAAAGCCACAAGATGTGGAACAATTGAAACAAAGTCCAAGTCACTTCAAAACTAGAACAAACATCCTTCTGTCTCTCTAGGGGCGTAACTAAGAATTTTCCATCATTTGGGGGCCCAGGTGGAGGGGGGGCTCGACCTCTTTGGGGGCCCCTACATTTTGCATAATATTTAATTTTTAATATAAAAAATATTAATTTGGGGCCTCCCTCAAGTGGGGACCCAGGGGGATTTTCAAATTCTCCCTCCTCCTCCCCCCACCCTAGCTACGGCACTGTGTCTCTCTGTCTCCTAGTTCAAGCCACTCTGCCCTGTATCACCTCAACTGCAATGTCCTACCTATTGTTACATCAGAATGTATTTATCCAAAACGAACACGAACTCCATAACTGTAGGGGAGGGGTCCACGCATTTGGCTTTTGGTATATTTTGTTTTTCACCCCCCCCCCCTCTCCTTTTCCAGCCTCTCATTAAACAGAAACTAAAGTATAATGGTATCTAAAAGTCAAGCGTGTCTAGTACACTGATGAAGTGAGATAGTTGTCTTTATTAAACGATGTTGTTTTGCAAACACTTACGTCAATCCACCGTCCTCTCTCATAGGCTTAGTGCTGTAGTTGCAGTGGGCTCCAGCTCCGTTCCAGTTGCCAGGTATTGGTTTGGGATCAAATGTCACCCTGACATCAAACTCTTCAGCCACTCTCAGCAGAATGTATCTGGCCACCCAGAGCTCGTCTCCCATCTTGATTCCTTCACATGGACCAACCTGGAACTCCCACTGGATTGGAAGAAACAATTCAGAATGCACACTAGATTCATGTAATTAAACTAAGATATAGTCTACAAACTTTCAATGTAGGCTACAGTAACAAGGCTTAAAAGAAGTTCTGTTAAAATACAGTTACACAATAAAATATCACTTTTAAGTCCAATGAAATCTGTTATTATTTAGATTTTTATACTAGACCACAGATGGAATGCATTCTTTTTAAACATAGTCTGAACTCATTTTAGTGTTAGGCCTCATCACCACAAGAAAAGTCTAAGACCGAGCCCATTCTACACATTGTTCTAGGGGCCTGATAGTATCAAGCCACGAAACGGATATGGCATGGTGGCAGATGATTATAGGACACTATCTTGGAATCCCGAGGATGTGTGCAGTTATTTTACGAACAAAAAAAATGATTTTGTGTGCATGTTATTATTTGCCTGAGATAATTAAATCCTAATGACTATTTATATTTCAATATGATTAGATTATTTTGGCTAATTATTATAAATCTGAATCCTGTAGATGTGTAGTTCCCTATTACCACAATAACAGGATACATATAACAGATGTAGGCCTAGTGTTTTTGGAGTTTGAGTTTGTTTCATGGTATAGAAAAGCTGGACTTTGTGTTCACCTTGTGAGCATTAAATGTGTACTACTAATTGTGTTTAATTGCGCTTTACTATAGTTAAACACTTTTAAAGAGTCATTTGGGTGTCACTGCTGCTTCTTTCGCTACCTGTTAAGTCATTTATATACTTTATGAAAAAAAAAAACTTCTGCAGTTAGCAAATGATAGTCTAGTCCCTTATACGTAGATCTATTTAATTAAGAGCAGAAACTCAGGGCTGAGAAGAGCATTACCTGTGAGGGCATGACCTCTGCATTGATGCCACTGATTGTGATGCCAGCATAAAGGCATGCCCTGTAGTGGGCCTCCACCACGTCCCTACCGTACACCTTGTCTGAGCCCACCCCGCAGTAGTAAGGACCTGGAAGATTCAATGTTGTCAAAAATAGATCATTAGCTAAGTACAAAAGCACAATCACTGGCGTAGTTATGCCAATAGTTAAGTAGTTCTGTTCAGTCATAACTTGTATTATTAAACACATACACATACTTACACATTAACACACCCACATACATACACACACAAACAAAGTTTTTGCCCTATGTATTGAGTCGAGATTACAACAACTTGACATTTATAGTTCAAGTCACCGCCCACTTAAAATCACTTATTGTTGCTGACTATCTTTAGTCATCAACATTACAGATTTTCAAAATAGATTAGATCTTTGACAACCCTTTTTTACATTTTTTTGTCATTAAATAACAAGATCATTTCACTACAAGACATTATAATACAAGATCATTTCACAACAAGACATTATAATACAAGATCATTTCACTACAAGACATTATAACACAGCCACCACACAGAAAATGATATTATTGTTACCCTGTGGGCCTGGGAAGCCCTGTTTGGGCCATCCTAGAGGGTAGCCATCAAAATCTAGAAGAGAGTACTCCTGTTCAATTCCAAACCATGGGGCCAGGTCTTTTGCTTTCTCCATGACGTCAGCGCAATTGTTTCTTTTATTGCTTTCTGAAAAAAAAATATTTTTAGTATTAAGTAAGTTTTTTTTTTCCTACATTGAATGTGTAGATGTTAATTAAATGATAAAAGATCAATTAGTTTCATTTAGTTGCTCAGTGAGCAGCACGAAAACTGAAGAGAGGACAGAACAGGGGACTAAACAGAGGACTAAATAGAGGACTGAACAGAGGACTAAATAGAGGACTGAACAGAGGACTAAATAGATGACTACTCTAGATCTACTCAACTATTATAAGTTCAACTTAATCAGACACAGTGACAATCTTAAGAAATACTTTCTATGTAAGAAATCAAGAATTTACAAATTTCTCATCTATGATCTTCCAAATTCAGTCTCATAGTAGCCCCCCCCCCTTTTTTTTTTACAAA